TGTGACGGGGATTCGAACCCGCGACCCTCAGATTGCGAGTCGAGCTTCCTAACCACCTGGCCAAAAGAATAAATAGGAAACTATTATCTTCGTAAACATAAGCAACACGTAACTTTTATTCCTTATATATCGACATTTTTCAAAAAAAGTAGGGTGCATTACACTACTACAATACACTTTTTCCAAAATTCATATGGCATACCACGCGATACCTAAAGGTACCCGTTCTTCAACAATTCTGAAAGATTGACGATATTATTGAATTTACAAAAGAAAGTTGTAATTATTTATAATTAATCAGCTGTAAATTTCTTTAGGTGATAATTAAAACGATGAAACCTTTATACGTTAATGAATTTTATAATGATTTAATATGACGTATAGAGTCCTGATTATTCTCTGCGTAATTATTTTAATTTGTGATTAAATCGACCTCATTTATGAACGTTTATTGGTAGGCAGCTAATAAAGATATAATGAATATAATATCTTTGCTTAGTTATTAAGCTAATAATAATTAGTAGGTGAATTTGAGTACATTTTAATGTTTAAAGGTCTTCGTTAATAGATGTAGCACAAAGCTACACAGTAGGCTATCTGTGCTCTGCCCACTACGGGTATCGAAACCCGGATTCTAGCGATGTAAGTCCGCAGACATACCGCTGTGCCACTGGGGGGGGGGCTCATTTTATCTAAAACAATGTAGAAGAGTTTATCACATAATTATATTCGGCTTGTTAAAAAAGCCCAAGAGATGGCGCTTGACGATTGATTTCAGCTGGGGATTTTTAACTTTCGAAACAACTTTATAAAATTAATTAATTTATATTCACTTATGAACATTCCTTTAGATAATTTAATTACATTCAAATATAACATGTATTTAGACTTGTTCAGACTGGGTTTTGAACGTAATTGATAATTTTCTAGAAATAAATTAAATTAAAATATCTGCTTACTGTTTTTATATATTTTTGTCACAATTACAATCCTAGTGTACAAACGATCAGTAGTAAATTTCCAGGCTTAATATGCTAATATCCGGCGGGTTTTGATTCCCTGATTCCCTACGGTGGACAGAGTGTAGATAGCCCACTTGCAAATTTAAACTAAAAAAGACCCAGCAACAACGTGCGTACACAAAACTTTAAATTAGGTTAGATTAAATTTAGGTTTCTTGTTTCATAATTTTAATCTCTCTCTTCGTTCGAAAAACCTGACATTGAATTAGTTTATACAAGGCATGGAATTAGCTGCTATTCAGTAGGTATACGATTAAATCTCAATAGTGAACAGCACCCACCGCTACCTCTTGGACTACTTTTTCTGATCGAATAATAATATTCCTTAAGGCACACACACAGCCCAAGAGTGCGGATCACGATTTTTGTGTGTGTGGTAAAAGGACACTAAAAATGGACCCACAGATCTACAGTGCAGCACGCTAGCCACTAGGCCACGCACGGCCAGTGCCTATTTTTTATTGTTTTTCAGATATTAGCAGGCTGTGAAACTGAAACAATATAACTTTTGATTTTGTTTTATTTACTGTATCTTTGTCAAGTTATTGTTATCATTAAATATATAATGTTGGCTGACGTACCGGGCTGCAGATTGGAAGTCCAAGATTCGCGTTCCCATTACCTGCACGGCATAAAAGTGACAATCAATCTCGCTCTTTGATAAAGAGTAACCGTACAAGTGGTGTTGCATGTTGATTGGTTGCAGGGGGACATAGTTGTTAAGAAAATAAAAAGAGTTAAAAATTGGAGTAAAATAGAAATATTACACGACACAACGTCTCGTCATACTTAACGTCATGTAAATGATAAAAAATGGAAACAGCTAAAAATAAGAATAAGATATAATTAAAACATGATTCAGCGTTTTGCCGAAGTTAACATGTTGTATAGGCCTAAAATATTCACGAACTTTTGAGGACAGGTACCGTGCATTTTTTCCTCTGCATAACCTTTACCTTTCTCTCATTCAGTGTTGTGAATTACTTTTTTCTGAGAATACATAGATTTAGTTTTTTTTAGAGGAACGAAGTAATATGGTGTAATAAGATGTTTGTTATGAACTTCGCGTGAGCTACACGAGGGCTATCTGCGCTAGCATTCCCTAATTTAGCTGAAAGGGCGAGCATGTTTGATGTGATGGGGATTCGAGCCCGCGACCCTCAGATTGCGAGTCGAGTGCCCTAACCACCTGGCCATGCCGGGCCATTTAGCAGTGATACACTAGAGAGAACGCAGATAGTCATCACCACCCAACATCAACTCCTGGGCTACTCTTTTACCAATGAATAGTGGGATTGACCGTCACATTATAACGCCCCCACGGCTGAAAGGGCGAGCATGTTTGATGTGATGGGGATTCGAGCCCGCGACCCTCAGATTGCGAGTCGAGCGCCCTAACCACCTGGCCATGCCGGGCTAGGAACAAAGTAATATGGTGTAATATGAATTTTGACAAAAAAGGGATTTATGTTACCACCGAAGTACGAGCACCTACTTAACAAAAGATTAAAAAACGAATTTCAGTGAGAAATGACATA